ATGTGTCACTGATCTCTCTATTTATATCACTATTCTTGAAATTTTGAAGTAACCTTGTTATCCTCAATTGCCTACAAACAAGATTGGTGCTCGAACTATAATCACCTAGTCTTGAGATCCAGTCGGTCTTACTCCTTTGATAGCAAAACTAATTTTACTGCGTGTTAAATGATGGGGGCCGGGAATGAGAGAAATTCCCTGTGTGAATATCATCATTAATTGATCTATGAGATTCGAATTCCCAAATATATATTTAACAGACATGGCTTAAAACATGTTTGCACAAAAAGGCATAAAATAGTGTATGATATGTTGTATGTGAGCAAAAAAGGGTAAAACACTGGCACACGAAACATCTGCAAAGCTAATGATAGAAACATCGATGTCAGTTCGTAACGTGCTTGTAATCAAAAATATAAATTGAATGGTCCAGAGTGAATTTGATGAAGCACTAATAATGAGAAGTAATAGCGTAAATTTTTAACTTGTGCTATGGAGGGGTATGATCCGAACTTCATACGGAGGGTCATTTGCCATGGTCATCGAATCAGCTCAAACAACCGCTTCAACGTATGCCGATGGCAAGCTTTTGAGGCAAGCTCTTCCTCTGCCACAACCTTAGCCGTCGATACTTCAACATCAACGGCCAATGACCGAACGACGCTGACATCTGCTGAAGTATCATCATGCAAGGAAAATTAAAGCAATTCAAGTATACAACTTTCCAATGTCCCTTCAGCTAATTGTCCACGCAGAGCAACATTGTGCATTTCACTTTTTTGTAACGTTTCTCCTCATGATGATGGTATGATGTTTTTGGTCTAATTCTTACATTTAAAGCAAACACATCTGCGAGGTTGACTGTGCCATTAATACCCGACCGGTCAAGCTAATGAAAACATCATTGTAATAATTGATAATCCAATCGATTTGACCAATAATGTCATTCGAAATTCTTATCGCCACTCAGGTGATTGCCCACTTTTCATTTTACCTTTTTACCTGTAAGAAAAAACCTGTTGATGTCATTATTAAAGTTAAGGTAGGTAAATTTTCAGACTAACTTAATTGCACCATTTCGTATCAATCGAGCAGTGCATGTTTTAAATATTAGTTACCGCGCCCTCAATTCTACTGACTACACGCCCCTTCCCACCCCCAGGGAACTTATAAACAGCGTCATCGTCAGAAAAGGCCGGAAAACGGTAGGGTCGATTTTTGGCGGCCTTGAGAACGCATGAAAGGGGGAGGGGGAGGGAGCCTCTCCGGGATTGGTCAAAAACGGAGGCGCTTAATGACGGAGCCAATCGTGGAAATGAATTTCATAAGTCTTTCGGAGGGGAGCCGAGGTCGAAGGAGCCAGCGCACCCGCAGGTGAAGACGTCGCGCCTCCGACGCGAGGGCGTATCTCAATTTAGATATGAGCCCCAGAAAGCATGGATTTATAAAATAAAATAGGGCTCACGTGAAAAATTGAGATATGGCATTACGTCAGAAGGACGACGAAGAGAGGTGGCGAGGAGCAAGTGAGAGGGGCCAGGCAGGCGCACAGTGCGGCCCTCTGCGGACAAAAATACAGAATTCACAAATCGACATCTGAATATTTTTTTTTGGAGTTTGTCATTTTAAAGATATTTTAGACTCACTAGAACGGTTCATTTCCAAATGTTTTGCTCAATCCTACTTCAAATTTGGGTAGAAAGTTGGCGGGAAAGGAGTCGAGAATCACTAAAATACACGGGAAAAAAGACGTCAACTTCAAATAAAGATTGCTCGCTTGAAGCGCAAAATGCTCTGGGTGGTTGACATTTTCTTAATCCTCAAATATCCAACTTCAGTCCTACCAAACAGATCTCGCGACTTTTTGCGACTATCAAAGATATTTGAAGTTGAAGTGTGGGTGTTTCACGTTGCTTTTACATTGTTAACATAGGGCTAACTCGAGGTTCCTAACTTCAAATGAACTTTTCTCGAGAGTTACGCAAAAAATCCTGAGATATAGCATTTTCTCATTCCTCGAGTGTTTTACTTTGATAGAGCCAAAGGGGTTTCCTATTTCGGTGCTACTATCGTCATTATTTAAAGTCATGTGTCTTTCACGGAGTTTTGTCCGCATCGTCCATAAGGATGCCGCACTGTGAGGCGTAAGCGATGCAACGTCTAGGCCAAGGGGACGAAATGGGCCGGTATTGTTATTCTACAGCGCGAGACACTGGATTTTCTGATTAGAAGGGTACTAGACGTTAATTCACCTGCAAGGGGCACGCGACTAGGTCGACAGTTGGCCAGCGGCTTCTTGTGTTCTTCCTCGCATCCTCGCGTTTCACACCGTTTCCACATCGTCCGTCGGCCCCCTCCCCCTGGATCTTACTCCCTGGATGAGAATTGCTTCTGATTTACTGCCATGTCTGACGCCCGCGCGCCGCAAGGTGCTCCTTCCGACGATCCACGGCCACCCTCACCCCCGCACCCACTCCCCCCCTCCCACCCCTCCAATCCCTACTTTCATTAAACCTATGAAGAGTAGAAATTCAAAACCTGGGAAGCGCCATTTCGGTTATTGGACAATCGGAGAATTTGCACGAAAAATTGTTTTACTTCATCCGAGAGTGTTCAATCGGCTGAGTTCGCAGTTTTTTCTACTTTGGGATATTGTGGAGATATGGATTAAGAAGTCTCTGACGTCTGTGACGTCATCTGGTGGCATTTTCCAGTTAAACACATGAATTTTAGCTGATAAGTTCATTTGGTCATGGCTCCTTCGATGATTGTTCAATTTAGAAACTAAGGATATTTCTACGCTCAGTTCGATCTGTAGTTTTCACTAAAACAAAAAATTCATCAAATTCCAGACACCCTCAAATTCTCCATTGGGTGGCTAGACACTTTACCCAATTATTTTTACCCGATACCTAGTTTGGCCGGCAAATGCAATCCAAGTTAAACTTTGACTGTGTTGCTCACGTGGCCTTTTAAACCCCTACAAATATAAGACCAACGGAGCCAACGCATATCATGAAAATAGCGTAAGAGAAAGGACTCGTTTTGGTGACGGCGCAAAGATACAACTATTCGTGCTTGATGGATATCCGTGTTGTATCTGCAAACTTGAAGGCGCGATGCAAGAACTCGCAATGCTCCGCTCTATGCAGTCAGTGAGTGTCGCATGAATTCGAGAGAAAAGGTGAAAAAAGGCCCGACTACATCTCTCATATCTTCGGCTGTTTTGCTAACGTAGCTCTAGAAGCACTACTACAAATAGGACAGACAGAACCAACCCAACGTGGAAATGGAGCAACGGAAAGGTTGCGCGTTAATGACGGCGCAGGGATACAACTATTCGTGCTTAATGGATGGCCGTGTTGTATCTGCAAAATTGAAGGCGCTAGGGCATGAGGCTTGAGCTCGCGATGCTCTAGGCTGCTAATGAACTGTCGCTCTGGTTCGGGAAAAAATCTTAAAAAAACCAGACCCAAAAACGTATTACCTACCTACGGCTGTGTTGATATAAGATTTTTTTCCATTTGATGTCTTATTCTTTTTTCAAGTTGTGTTTGTAGACCCACATCGCAAGTTCGGATGCACCGGCCTTATAAAACCTGCGGGGCATGTGTTTTCAGCGATCTTTGGATCAGTAAAACCCGGCTTGGGCATCTAAGGGTTGAATTTCATCATTTTAGCGGAATCTCAGCACTTATGTTGTCCCTCGTAATTGGACTAAGTAAAGTCATTTTAGTCAATTACCAAGTACTAAGCAACTATTGGTTCAAATAACATTGCACAAAAAACTATCGGACAAACTTAAAAATGGACCATAAAAACTTTGGACCAATCAAAATTGGGTAAAGAGTCCGGCCACCCTCCATTGGTTAATGAAGTCGACCAATTGTTTAAGGTGAAATGCTGGACGAAGTTGGCATTGAATCGTGGCTTTTCAATATTTTCCGAGTCCGTTTCTTCAAAAATATGAGAGATGATATCGTTGACCAAAGTGCGAAAAAATATATCTCCGTTTGTGGCATCGCAAACTTCCTGTCATACTGTACTTTTTTCCTTATAAAACTAATCAACGAAAAATTTCTTGAAAACTTCTTTGATTTCTCCTGCCTGTTGACAAAATATTCTGTATGAAGTTTAGGACTCAAAATTGGTTTGTTTCTATGCAGAAAAATGATGTAGCAGCGGAAATTGTGAAAAATTGCATTAAATATACGTGCTGTCGCATTTTTGCCATCGATATCTCGGTTTTGCTCCTCTCGTGGCTAACCGTCGATGGTATACAAATTGAACGTATTTATACTAAAAGGAACTATGTCTCATGCAAACCCTACGTACATAGTTCCTTTTAGCACAAATACATCCAATTTTAATAATCAAATTTCACTCACTTCACTAATTTATTTCTATGGAATCCAACATTAGTGAGTTATGGCCTCAGTATTGATCCTCACAATCAATAGCAGCAAGTATAGTATAATGGCAATGACCATGGTAAAAAGAGTTGGTAATGGAGCAAAAGTGATGAAGCTACTGCGGGCAACTATTAGTGTTTCAAAGCCGCTCATATTGCCATCACGTTGATTGAAGGCGAACTCGACACGATGAGTGACCCAAAGGAAGGCGGGTAATCATAGTACGTTCTTTAAATTTTTACCGTTATTCCTTCTTTTATTTACTCATTATTATTATTATAGAGAGGCAATTGATCGAAAAATTAGCTGCATGGAATGTTCGCTGATGAGAGCGTTATGTTGCGCCCGCAATGAGAAATAATTTATTTATACCAAAAAATAAAGGAAAGCTATTCGCATCTGAATCTTGGCAACACCGGGTTAGGAGAAATTGACTTGCGGATTACGCAGGTTGCTATAGCTGCCGCCAAAAATTGCAAATTTACAACAATGATGAATGATTTTGCTGACATTCGTTGGCCACCGTTGACTGTTTTTTTTTTCTCTCTTTTTTTTCATGAGCAACAGGGTGAGTTTAAGTTTTTTGTAGATTTAATTGAATTTCACCCCAAAAAATCACCCGCAGCTGAAATAGTTTAGTTAAATTGTATCTCCCGTATAGTAGCGGTGTTTTATGTCCTTCCTTGAGTAAAGCTAATTTATAGTTTTTTATACTTGAGTGCATGAAAAATAAGTAAAAAAGCAGTAACACTGCCATATCGAGTGCAGTGAACTTTTTTAAAGTCTGCAAAACAATGTGTTGTGATCGTTCATTTAATATATTCGGAAACATTTAATGAGAATCGCATATTTTGATGAATCAATTGAATTAAATGCGCTCTGAATGGTTTCACCAGTGGTCCATTTCTCACGGACATCGATTCTTCTGCATGCATTAACTTACTCTGAGCTCATAACCTAACTTTTCGAATGTAAACAATGCCATTTCATTTCCAACCTCTCCGAGTGGTTCGTTCCTGTGCGAGGCACTGACAAACGCAAGCTTGATTAGATTTCACGTCGAGAATCTCTGTTACTAGGGGGTACGGGTACGCACCCTGACCGCCCAGCGGTCGAGCCCCCCTTCCCAATTGAAGCGCTTCACGTCTCCAACTGTAGTAGCAACATTATCTTACCTTGGAATGGCAACTGCACATACTCGCGCTTTATTTGTAATGATATTGTTACAAATTCACCGCAGCGACAATTCGGTAAGGAAATAGCAAACCTTAATATTATTCAAGCTCTTCGGCATCCTGCGAGGGCAAGTTTGCAAGGCTGATCTAGTGAAAGAATATACACTAAAAAAGGAGTCGTGTCATCGAATATTTCTTTTATTTTCACTAATATCTGCCAAATTCGTCCAAATTTGCAAGTTTTCTTCAAAATTACCCGTCACTCACCGAAGAAAATAAAAAGAAAGCAAGAAAAAAAGAAGAAGGTCACGCATTGCAATGCAAGACGCGTTGGCACTTTAAGTTGACTCAGCCAGAATTAAATGGAAAACGAAGGGTCTCCTACAGACGATCCCTGATTCAATAAACGCACATTTTTAGATGCCACCTAATGTCCTAAAATTCCCGTTCTGGTCAGAGATTTTCTAATGAGGGTAATGTGAAATGGCCGCTTCATTTCAAATTGTAAATGTAGATGTATCAAACTTTCAGTATCAATTGAAAATATTGAAGTTTTATACTTTTTTGCAGCTCCACGGTCCAGCTGGAGGAAGTTCAAAAGATGACTTAAGCATCAATCAGCCTTCAGAGATGGCTGATTTGAGTATCTTACGTAAGTTGCTATTGTTGTTGGTTTAAATTAAAATTTAAAAAATTACCAAATAGGGAAAAAGGGTATGCATATCTGAAAATCTATACCTCATGCTATTTTACATTTGCTTGATCAATATTTATCAGTTTTTAGCCAAAATCTACACTAATGTACTCCCCTCCCCTCTGTACTGTGTAACAGCTTCATTCGTGGATTACTTAAATGGTCCAGTTGTGCTAGTCACAAAATCGTGTTCCGATGATTTTAGATTACATATAAGATAAAATATGATGATCTTGCCAAACAACAAGATTCCACATCCAATATTTACGAGGATACCGCACCTTTAAAAACACGGCAAATAACGTATCATGCCGTGGTGGTGCATATTATGGTTCTTCTTCACTTCCATTTTATTCGTTTTCAATGTCGAACAACCAGTGCCAATAAGTGTATCACTAAAGGAGAATTTACTGTCTGGAATTGTGTAAATTTCATATTTAAAATTGAAGTACTAAGAGCACTGACCACGAGAATATCTTTGGTTCCTAAATTGAAAAATTATTGGAGGCAGTATGATAAAATAACCTAATCTGCGATAATACATGTGCTCAAATGGGAAATGCCGACAGATAATGTCACAAGGCGGCAAATTTTCTCACTTTTCAATGTATATTTCTAAAACTTCCCATTTAAGAAAAAAACATGAGAAATACCGCGAACTCAGATCATCAAAAACTCTCGGATGAAGCAGTAAGGTGATTGGACGGACGCCTTATTTTGTGTCAGAGCGACGTGCGATATATCTCATCGATTCGTTCCACAATATCAGCTACTTGTCATTTTTTTCGAATTTTGAGATCGCACTTCTCTTGTCATGAGACTAAAGAATTCATGTACCAAATTTGACAAAGAAATTCAACGTAATGAAGGCAAGGTTTTTTCAGAGGAAAAATATCGCATTCGAGAGCATTTTCGATATCAGTAACGGATGCGATATTTTTCCTCTAAAGGAACCCTGCCTTATTACGTTGAATTTCTTTTTGAAATTTGGTACATGAATTCTCTAGTCTCATGACAAGAGAAGTGCGATCTCAAAATTCGAAAAAAATGATAAGTAGCTGCTGAAAAGTAGCTGTATCGCACGCCGCTCTGACACAAAAAATGTCAACCGTCGAATCACCTTCTCCATTGGTGGATATAAAGTGTGAGAGACCAGGGGATGTACCACTTCAGTGGATACCGTCACACATCGTGTTTTTTAAAGGGCAAAATCTCCATTAATGTTGGACGTATAGAAACTAGACTTTTGGACGGATTTTGTTATTTTTCTATATTTTATAAGCTTAAATAATCGAAACGCGATTTTGTGATCAGCTCAACTGACCCATTATTTCCGTTGAGGGTTTAACCGTATTATCATGTGCGTGCTCATTATTATAGCCTGTGCCATTCGGCCCGAGTCGAAGCAGGGAGGATTGAAATGTAAGAATCAATTATGGTCGTCAAGCGAGTTTCAAGGGCTGAAGGGCTGTGCTCAGTGACCTGCAGCGGCACTTGAGGCCAACGTGATACCTAGCCCTTGCACGCATGAAGAATTAGGAGCGCCTCTCGTTACTCTGCCGTGAAGAATAAACGCATAGTAGTAATTGATAAAGTGTGGCCGTCATTATTTCTATCTTATTTAGACACGTGCATTCCCCATCTTTTCGATTCGCTACCTGCACGCCCTTGTCGTACATTTGGACGTTTTTCTGTCGAACGGAACTATGTGCATTATAACGTGAGCCCTGTTATGCATATATTATTATGGGTCTCAGGGCTCATGTCTTAATGCACATAGTTCCGTTCGGCAGAAATACGTCCATTTGTCGTGCAGTTATCGTGTACAATCTTCAGCGCATCACTGCGCACAAAGGCCGGAACCGGAAAATTTTGCACTACCACGTGACAGATCTAGAACCAGGGTGCTCACGCTCACACCTGTCCACTTATAAATTCTCTTCTATAAACAAAATGAGATAAATTAGACGGATGAATTTTCCTAAAGTTGACGGGAAGGATGCAGCAATGTATCTTCCACGCGGAAAGTTAGTAGAATTTACCGCGATGAAACATCAAGAGTCAACATTACTAATGATTATGAAAATCCATACATTTATAGGAAGATAGTTTGAGTTATATTAATCGTACCACACTGAGTGGGCCGGTTGAAAAACAGGGAGACATGAAACGTACCTCCAGTGTTCAAAAAAACCACCACGACTAAAAAACACAAACATGAAGAATATTGTCGAATTAAAAAATCCCATTCGACTAAATTTTAAAGGGCACATCAAACGAGGAGACTTAAACGCCGGGAGAGTAAAATAGGCAAAAAGTATATCAAACTCAGAACGAATATTGAAGGTTCAATATTGAAAGCTAGATTTGACTTATGATTATCATCTTTGGGACTCGGAATGTGTGCAGGAGATCGCATGCTGCAATGATATGAAAGGATAATACTGCCGCCGAGAGGAATTTCAATATACTTGGAACTTTTTAGAATACATTTCCTTTTTATTCTAATGGTTATAGAGAGAGCAAACTTCTAGCACTCTGTAATTTTTTTATGGTCATTCAGATCACTAAGAGTAGAACTAGTTGTTAGAAGTGAGGTAAGACAGAAACTCTAAAATAAATTCTGTTCCATAAAGTCATTCGAGGCGGAAGATATTTTAAATTAGACTGGTAGTGCAATAGCTTAATAGCGTAATTGGGAATCTTTTGCCATGAAGTAGACAGTCTAAGGATTCGTAAAAAGTTTTTGATAATATTGTCTTTTCTTTGTAACATCCTTCTCTTATAGTACTCCTCGCATATATAGTGTTCCAAACCACATGCACCAGGATTATTCTTGATTATTTTTCAATTTGAATATTTCCGGAATTTAGTGAGTTTTACAAGTTTACAGCCCCTACCTCAGAAAACTTTTTTGGGGCTTTTGGCTTTAGGACTGTCATATTCGGATTCCTGGTGATCAATTACCGAGGGAAACGCGTTTTCCTTGAGCCTCTCCGTCAGTTCAGCACTGCTGAATTTTCAAAGAGGGAGAGGGGGTGCTGTTCCCCAACTTCAGGGGTCAATCATTCGAACAGGAGTGGCTCTATTTTGGATTTCTTCGTTTCGACTTGGAGTAAAATGTTCCGCGCTTTCTGAATTTGATAGAATAATTTCAAAATTTTGAAGGGAACTTCAACCTGAGTGGGGGGGGGGGGGGGAGGTCGCCTCGAGACCACGACATTAGATGCCATCGTTTACGATTTCGTATTCTTACTTCATCCGACTTAGAATTGCTGAGAAAAAAGTCTGGTGCGCATAAGCTGATCCAGCGGATAGGCGGGGAGGTAGGGGGAGACTGAGGGGAGACTTCTCCTTCCTTCCCCTTCATCCTGAGGGGAGACTTCTCCCCGAAAATTTTCAAAATTTGAAAAGCATCTAATATGCAGTTTGAGTCAATTCTGTCATGGAATTTGCCAAAAGCAAGCGTTCTTCCGTCTTCCTTCCTCCGTTCCTTTCCTACTGTTACCTTCTTTCTTCCTTCCATTTTTCTTCCGCCTTTTTACCGGCGAACGGGAAGGGCTCGCGCCCTTTACGCCCACCCCCCGGACCCGCCTATGCTGGTGCGGGTAGCCTGGGACACCCTGTTTTGTTCTTTTTTCTCCACTATTGAACCAAATTCACACCATCAAACTTTTCATCTAACTCTTGGATGCATCTTGTCGAATGAACATATTGATAGTGTGATACCGACCAGAGATAACGACATTTTGATGAATTTAACGGAGAGTTGAACGAGAAGTTGGAACGAAATCTTCCGACTGACATGAGCCGAAGCTGTATCTTCGCGAACCGCAGACTGATGCGACGATATCACACTGCAACGGTAATTGAATCAAACTTTTTTGCGTCCAACTTTCCATCCAGCTTTTCGTTCAATTATGTCATATGAAGTTTGATAGTGTGAGTTGGGCTTTACGCCTCACTGAAATTTGATGAGAATCTGTCAAAATCTGTTGAAAGGCGAAAGCGGCAAACTGAACTTGAGTCACCCCCGGCGAATGCGGCGGGAGTCGCGGGTTTGGTTTTTCAGCGACGGGATGGCCCGACCGAGCCAGGAGACGAGCCCCAGGGACGACCGGGAGCGACCTCGGGACTGGGTCAGTTTTCGGGAGGACCCATACGACCTCGAGGAATTCGCAAGCTCCAACCTCAGGCGCCGCTCCGTCGATGACGAGATAACTTCCTTCGATCGGTGCAAACAGTGCGATGAGCTCCTGCCCATCAGGCCCAACCTCAGCCTCGAGACCCCGGCCCACCTCGAGACTCTCACCAGTGACTTGAAATCGCAAGTCGTTCAAACCAGGACCCATCGCAAATCGCACCAAAATGGCACTGATCATTCTTTCAGTTTGATCGAAAGTTCAAACCGACGACTTACGACTACAAGTCCTGATTCCAACTTTGCAGGGCACCGTAGCGAAAACACCAACACGGTCGCGTTGAATGACAACCTTCCTGCCGTGCAATACGATTTACCGAGCGCTAGTTTACCCGAATTCGAGGAGTCGCGCCTGCATAAGAGGCGAAATAAACGGAGGAAGCACAAGAAATTCAACGAGGCTGTAATCGATGCACTGTATGAGGAGGCGCGAAAAAACGAAGATGTCATCAAAATGCTTTACGGAATGAAAGCACCGTCGAATGTCTTAAATAGCAAAAAATCCAGCCGAAAAATGAAGCAAAAGCATCCAATCAGCGAAAGCTGCGGAGGACAGGAAGTATTCAAAAGGGATATCTCTGCGACGAAAAGCTCGATGTCAACGCTGCTTGATGGGAAAAGCTTATTGGTCCCTGAAATCGACGAGGGTCCGATTGATCTCTCGACGCCTTTCAACGACGAGGAGGATGATGAGTCGGTGACGGTGAAAGTGTACGAGAGTGCAGTGGAAATTAGCAATAACTCGCTTTTTAGCAATCTCAGATTCGTCCCGAAGAAAAAAAATTATTGGTTCAAACGAGTTGATAGACACGATTTTGATCCCAAGGATCCCTTACAAGCCCTTTCGGTTGATTCAGATTCTGAAGGCGATGAAAAAAGTGAAAGCCTACCTTATGATGATTCGCGTAAATATTCTTACAAAAATGCGTCGAAAAATCATGACTCAAGATTGAAGTATGAAAAATTACCGCAACGTCTCGCTCCGAATGAATATTTTGCTGGTGTAAGAATGAAAAAGAGTAACAACGGATCAGACGTTTCAGACATCAATAACACAACTGTGGAGAGTTCCAAAACACCATCATTGGAGGCAAATATCAAAGAATTACAAACAAATTCAAGAAGTTTGACGGTGAGCCCAGCCATGCAAGCCACAGATCCTTTCCGCGAGGTTAAAAAAACTAAAGGGAATTCAGCTAAGATAGATGAATCGGATAAAAATAAAACAGGTCAGGGCGAAACAGCGTTGCGTATTCTTGTCTCGAATGGAGAGATCAAAAGTGCAGATTCTTTAATGTGGAATCGATCTTCGAAGGCAAGTAAGTCTGGTAAATCTGCATCTGGAGAAATAAAGAGGGTTTCGGAACCAGAGGAAGGAACGGTGGAAACCATAACTGAGGACAAGGGTTCTCCAGTCAATTCAACACGAGAACTTTCCGATGTGTCTTTACTTTTGAAGGCCGATATGAATCAGACAGAAATTAGTAAATTAAGTGGAGAAACACTGGTAGGTTTGGGATCCAAAATGAGCACCGCAGCTACGGTCGCGGAGAAAGCCGCAGACTGCAGACATACCGACTCAGAATTCGTCACTGTGAGTGCAGTCCTCCCTGAGATTAAAACAGCAAAATCTAATGTTACAATCTTAACAGAAGCAGTCGTGAACAAAACTAAGAATTTTAGTGTGTTCCCAAATTTGGAACGGTATAAAAATAAGCCTTTTTTGTCTCCTGTTAACGATTCCTCGTCTAACGTCACAAGTAATCATTCCTCAACGGAGACTAATACTTCTCGATCTACCTCGTCGTCTAGTAATGCAAGCCTATCATCTACCTCCCTTAAAAATGTCATTGTTCAGAATAGATCCCTACGTTCTGCGGACCTCGACAACGCGTCTGGTTCATCTGACGGCGCTAACAGACAGTTGCATAAAGTCAAACGAGAGGATGCAGATAGTTCTTATAAAACTATCTTGCATGCAACTGGAGAAATCAATATCAGACCAATCAATTATTCTACATTCAATCAGTCTTTTAAAAATTTAGCTTCCAAGTCAAAAAAACCATTTACTTTTGGTAGAAACTCAGAGAACATGAACTTTGATGACCGCTTCGAGCAAATGTTTAATCAAGATCACGAAACACACGATTCGCAAGACAAAATTAACGCTGAAAGCACTCACACTACGGACAGCAATGAATTCAATCGTTTCCGGGTTGATTCAAAACAGAAAAAGAACAACCATTCCCTCTCAACTCCGAGTAAAATTGTTGATTCTAAAGATGCTCAAGCAATAAGCAGCGAGTTACGTCGAATGATAGTGGAAAAGTCCAAAAAGACGGGGTTACAATCATCCTCGCTCCAGAATGAACAAGAATTTACACCTCACCCTGTCGAAAAATCGTTTGTGGGCAACAGATCAACATCTTCGTTCGATACCGTGGTGAAAAGTGTCGATATTTCCTCTACGACTGGCTCTGTCAGACCCGGAGAAGAGGCAAGTGACGTAGATATGAAACTCGAGGGAATTATCGGTGGCAAATTACCAAATCAAATGGTCAATTCGATTTTTGCGAAGGTGAATGGTAACGGGAAATTGGTCAGTGACTTAGGCTTGGGGCAAGTTTCGCTCAGTTCGCACGAAAGTCTAGAGGATCTCACGGTGCCGAATAACCAGAGAGAGGGGGAAGTGAAGAAGCAGGCCGAGGGTATGATGATGTCAATCACGCGAGAGCTGACCCGGCTGATTCAAGAGACCTCAAGAAAACAAGGCTGTTACACGCTAAAACCGGAAATGCTAAATTTTCTTCGCTGGTTGGTTGCTCCTGCTCCCATCAAGAGGGACGAAGAAAGCGAAAATTTAGGGTGACATATTTGAGAAATGTGTATGATTAAGTCAATAGTTAAGTATATAGGTGGATAAATATCTTAAGAAGCTGTCTGACGAAGCTAACTTAATGTCTTATACATTGTAGCTCATGTGAGATAATCATAGAGTCAGAGAAAAAAGAGGGACTCTCGCCTTTTAGGTCAAAAGATTAAATTTAATCTCATGATTATAAAATCAAGTTATGGTCTTCCGCAGAGGAACCCTAAAAATTCAAAAATGTCTTTCTATCCCTATTTATTTGCGATGCAAGCAATGCTACTAAAAATTATTGATGTCACACCTAATTTTGTTTGTTTTTTACTGATTATTGACGTTAAAGATGATTTATTTCGACTGTGTAAGTCGGCAATCACATAACTCGGTTTGCGACGTCACAGATTTTCTGTCATACTTTATTTTTTAAACGGAAAACTACTTAATGTCGATTATTTAAAACTGCCGTGAATTTTTTTCTCTGTGCGTAGAAAATTCTGCAAAAACACCGAGGAATGACGTCAATTTATTCTCCTTTTAAAAGATAACATACAGGCGGAGATTTTCAGACGCCGCAAACGAAATACGCGATTGCGGACTTACGCCGTCGATTTGTACTTCATGCTCATGAGCTTAAGCTGCTGCGTCAGTAGGACTAAAAGTTGATGTTTAGAATCTGGCTCCTGATGTCGGTATTTGCTTAAAGCAGTTGAAAGAAAAAAGTGTAAAAATGTAAGCCCATGCATGTAAATTTCATCGCTGTATAAATATTTGGTGTTTTTGCAGGGAGAGGAAGTTGCACCATTTTGAAAATACCGTGGTCCCGGTAATTCCATTCTGCTAAATGCGATCTGATTGAAGGTCGTTGAATTTACCAGTAGACATGACGCTAATTGAAGTATTAGAATCCACGATTTTCCATAAAAATTCCATATTTGTTACGATTTTTACAACAAAATTACTGAAAGTAATTCTTAAGTAAGGTTGTAACGTTTATACGTACATGGGTGAAACTTCCCACCCATAGAAAAACAATAATCTACTTGAGCTATATATCGCACACTAAACGTTATATTGTGACAGTCTCTGCGGTATGATAATATGACAACTTCAAACTCGGTGCTTCGGCTCAGCTCTTGTACGTTGTTTACAGTTTGAACAATACAGAGAACACTGTTCGATTGATATTCCTGATAAAATCGTTGGAGTGGGCGGTTTGATTCAAATAGACCATTGTTTTTCATGTTTGGGGGGATTCAAATCCCGCGTAGTTAGTGAAAACTAAATACGTTGATATCTAAGTTAGAAGTTAATGTCAGTTAATTTATTTGCGCAATCGCGTTCTACGTGACATTTTTGTCAGAAAACTTGTATCACAATGCTCAAAGTGCAACCTTTTTTTGTAGTCCACTAGTTTATACGGCACGAACGGTTGAAGACTTCAACGCAGCGATAAGAAAGTAAACACATGAAAACTGTTGAAGTGGGCGAGCTGATTAAACTAGACCCTTGTTTTTCTCGTAAACGGGAAATTCCAATTTGTCATAACCGATGCAAAATAAAAATGTTTTTCTAGGTTCGGAGTTAATATCACATATTTTTCTTTCGAAAATCGTGTTCTACGTGAACTTTTGAAGAGAATACATTCATCAGAATGCCTCAAGTCGGGGCGCAACCTATTTCGGCAAATTTTACCCATTTCGGCAAAAAAGAAAGTAGACGTTTCGGCAAAATTATTTCAGCACATTGAGGGGGAAAACGGACCGATTCGGCAAAAGACCAATATCAGTAAGCTCACAGGAAGTTTCAGAAAAAATGCCCAATTCGGCACGAAAGCTGACATCGGTGCGATTAGAGGAATGAATGGTACGAACTGGAATGTAATTGTAAACTGATCTCAAATGTTGGGTTGAACTTTGTCCTAAGGTGACCGCGGCTGTCTATTATCATTTGTAGGTATGAACATCACTTTGGATGTAGTAAACAAGTTGCCATTCAGTTCGATTTTATCGTCGGTACACGAAAGAAGAATCGCTCATACGATTAATAACTGCTGTGATATTTCGTGTTTTTTTTTTACATTTTAACGACTGTGATTCCAAACCAAACGCTTAGAAAGCCTTCAAATCAGGCGATACTTCTCGCTTCTCCGGAAGGTTAGTTTAGTTGCGTGACCCAACCGAACGCTTTGAACGCCTTCAAATCAGGCGATACCTCCCGCTTCTCCGGAAAGTTAGTTTAGTTGCGTGACCCAACCAAACGTTTTGAACGCCTTCAAATCTGGCGATACTTCTCGCTTCTCCGGGAGGTTAGTTTAGTTGCGTGACCCAACCGAACGCTTTGAACGCCTTCAAATCAGGCGATACTTCTCGCTTCTCCGGGAGGTTAGTTTAGTTGCATGACCCAACCGAACGCTTAGAACGCCTTCAAATCTGTTCAAATAAGATGCTGCCGTTTTCATCTGGGGCAATGTTGGTGGCGGAACGTAAAAAAAAGTACAGCCCTGGTTGGAGCTTACGAAGACGCGCAAAGTGAGAATGGAAAATGGATAAAATCTTTCTTCGGTCTGTCTTATTTGCCCCCTCTTCCCACGAAGTTTCACTTGCGTTTGTCGATTTACTTCTTACCGCACCTTTACAGCCTGACTTTTTGGAATTTGCGAACTACATCTCTGAAAATTATGTTAACACCAATATATTCCATCCCTGCATTTGGGCTGATGCTCCTACTTTGAATAGCGTTAGCATCAGTAATGTTGCTGAAAGTTTCCATAGCCTGCAACGAACTGAATTTTATACACCTCATCCCTCGATTTTCCATGTTATCAAATCTTTGGAAGAGCAACAACCCCTCCGCAGATTAAAGATTTCAGCTGTTACGAAAGGACATCCACCGCGTAGAAGGAAGGATTTAATCGAAAAAGAAAATTTTGTTTCAAATCAATTCCAACTCTATCAGAGTCACGTTATTACGAGAAATACATACCTCTGAAGCATGGGAAACCGCTTTGTCGCTATTTAATGGTGAGTTGTTTCTAATACTTATATTTTATTAGGCCCGCCACATCCCATTTCGGGCCCTGGTACCAATTTTCTGGCCCAGGCCCCTAGCACAGGGGGGGGGGGGCCGGGGGGCCTCTCCCGGGAAATTTTTGAAATTTTAAATCTATTTGGACGCATTATGAAGCTCTTATGATGGAGATTTTCCATCAATTTCTGCAGAATAATTACGCCTTTTTGTTTACTTTCAGCACCAAACACTTTCGAATTGTTGCATTCAAAACATCTATAAATTTTTTTTTGAGGGGGCAGATGATAATTTTCAATTCTGTGGGGAGCCGGGCCCCCCTGGACTCCCCTTTCGTACGTCTATGGCAAGGGAGTTAAGCCATTGAAGTCGAAGATACCCAGAAAGGAGCCTCTTAGCATCCGACAACGGAAGAAAATAAAACACAGTTACTAAAAATATCATTCTACATATACTCAAAATCTTGAAAATCTCTAAAAAAGTAAGAAAAATTTTATAGTGCCCTAGCGTGTTTTTGAAACTTTATTCACCTTTTGCGGAATTTTTAGGGTAATTTTTTCACTTTTCCCTACGAGACAAGGGTTACACATGAATTCGTAGTGGTTTGTCACCTGCGTCACGGGCCCCTCCAGGGCCCGGGCCCCGGTACCAAGGACCCAGTATCCCCCCCCCCCTTGTGGCGGGCCTGAACGGCACTGCGCCGAATGGGGCATTTTTTCTGAAACTTTCTGTGAGCTTACTGATATTGGTCTTTTGCCGAATCGGTCCGTTTTTCCCCTCAATGTGCTGAAATAATTTTGCCGAAACGTCTGCTTTCTTTTTTGCCGAAATGGGTAAAATTTGCCGAAATGGGAATCACCCCTCAAGTCCTATCTTGTTTAATTTAAAGTATTGATAGCTCCTATCCATAAAATACACAAACATTCAAATGATGTTATGCAAACTAAATTCTGGTCTCCAAATCACGGAATTTTAAAATAAGAATGGTTATAAATAATACAGTTCTATCTTGATGGAATTGAAAGACTCGTATCCTTTTTTTCTGAGTTTTCTTGGAGTTTAGAATATAAAGAGAAAATAATTTCGCCACATATTCCTTTCTCTCTTTTTTTGTTATTTTGAAAAGTATTAATTCATCGTAGAAACATGGCAACGTAGAATTCTGCATGCTTTAGACAAGAATCGTCACACGCGTAACCTCAAAGCCGCCGCTCATTTCCGGTAAGTGCGCCTGTGTCGAGCAAAATCCTGTGTAGCTTTGCTTTGTAAACAATGAAAAATCAACACATCTACCTTTTCTATTGTGCGCATAATCCGGGTATCCATGCGAATTTTTCACGCGGATGTTTTACGTTCAACATCGGAGTACTCCCGTTGCCGGAACCACTGAGCACTTAAACCGATACCGCAAGGCCAATCATCGCAATCCCGACCCAGTTTTAAAAATCCTGCCTCCATCATTCGCCGATACCTTTGGTCATGGTTGTCTTTTGGTTGCCTCTCCAATTGTGAAAAGCAAATATAATCGTAATAACCGTAGCTCCGTTGATTTAAGATCTTACTCTCTTCTCGCTCGAATACTGAGAGGAAATCCAAAGAAAAACAAGACGGAAAAAAATGAGTGAAATTTAAAGTGGGGGCAACTTTTTGTTATCTAGTCGCCTTTTTGATATCTGTCTGTCTTTCATTAATAAGTGGATTATTATCGTTTGAACAGAATCTGTCATCTCAACAAGAGGTACCGACACAGATCTTCAAAGACTTGTGCCGTTTCAGTGAACAATATAAACAATTACGCGTATAAATAATTCGTAAAAATAAAGTTCTGATTTGATTTACCATAAACCTTGTAATTTCAAGTTTTATGGAAGAATAATATGTAAAAATAAAGCAGTAATTTCTTTTATCGTAGGTCTTGTATAAGTTCATGGAAGAATTTTAATGGCTGCGGTGAGACAACCGAGTCGTTTATATGTAAATATCTTTGGAAATTTTTCGAGGCATCTTTATAGCGTGATAATCTGGCCATAATATACAAATTAAATGAGCAATCAAAATATTTGACCAATGCAGGTCCGTTCGGATTTAAGAATTTAGTTAACAAAATTTACTAATTAATTTTGAAAATAGAGGTGACTTAAAATATCTGCATCTGTGGTGTAACATAATTTAGTGATAAATTTGGAAAACAAAGGTTGATGAAATAATTCGAACGGAACGATTCTTTATTCAAAAGGTCTGGAATATATT